AAAGTTTAGTAATTATAGGTCACGGGTGTTTTACTAGGAAATACATAAAGTCAGTAATTAAAGGTCACGGTGTTTTACTAGGAAATACATAAAGTTTAGTAATTATAGGTCACGGGTGTTTTACTAGGAAATACATAAAGTTTAGTAATTATAGGTCACGGGTGTTTTACTAGGAAATACATAAAGTCAGTAATTAAAGGTCACAGTGTTTTACTAGGAAATACATAAAGTTTAGTAATTATAGGTCACGGGTGTTTTACTAGGAAATACATAAAGTGTAGTAATTATAGGTCACGGGTGTTTTACTAGGAAATACATAAAGTCAGTAATTAAAGGTCACGGTGTTTCACTAGGAAATACATAAAGTCAGTAATTATAAGTCACAGGTGTTTTACTAGGAAATACATAAAGTCAGTAATTATAAGTCACGGGTGTTTTACTAGGAAATTAAAGTTCCAGTAATTAAAGGTCCATTTTCCACAGTTGGCTACTGACTGGGCATACAGCGGTGGTCCTATATTTGATCTACTTGTGGGCACTCCATCAGTGACGTGGACAGTATTCTGCCTGCCTTCTTGTATTTCCATAACAATGTTTTGTGCAGTTTGCTACCAGTGCCAGACTTGGACATTATCAAAGACTAACCTACGTAAAATTAACATCTGTGCAATGAGATGCCTGAGAAAAGCGACCAACGTAACCATCCGAGACAAAGTTTGAAGTGATATTATCAGACAGACTATAGGAACAACACTATGCCGCAAATTCATTGAGAAACAGAATACCAAATGGTTTGGTCATCTAGCCAGAACAACAACCAACGCAGGCCCTACCTACGAACAAAATCTGAAGTGAATGCAAAACGCCGCCATAATACAGTAGTATCCATCCTGAGGTGGGGTGGGGAGAAAAAGGCGTACCCACCTAGGGGGCGCGAGTAGGTTTCAAAGGAAGTGGGGGCCCTTAGAGAGTTTTGAAACTGAGTGAAGTGGGGGCCCTTAGAGAGTTTTGAAACTGAGTGCATTTGTAAAAATCCGTATATTATTTTTTTTTCCGTATAATCATTTTCAAAAATAAAAAATAAATTTCAAATCTAGTTAAGAAATAATCAGCGAATAACATTTTTGTTTTTGTTTTTTGTTTTTTAAAAGCAGTTTATATAGCTCCAGTTAGACATGGAATTAACATGATAACATATGCATTTATAGATTAAGAACATATTCTGGAAAAAACGTATCCCCGTACTGTTTGTTTCGCTTGTTGTGGAATCTTGTGTCCTCTTTTGAGACATATTTTATAATACTGGGGGGGGGGGGGGGGGTGAGTGGGGAGGGCTGGAAGATAGATAGGCGACATTAAAGAGCGTCTACCTGGCCACTGGCTGACAACAGTCATTGCAACGGATCGCAAAATATTTCTCCCCATAACGCCTAATGGTAAAAGTATAAATTGATGATGATGACGACGATGATGATGATTATGATGATGATGACGACGATGATGAGGATGATGATGATGATGATGAACATTTATTCGTAAAATTTAAATCTGGGCCCAGATCTTTTACCATTTTCCTATTTTACCACCTTACCATTTATGAAGGAATGCTGCGGTTAGATAAAGAGCATCACAGGTAAGAATGTACGAACTTCGAATGGGGAGAAGATCTAGTCAAGAGGGACCTATCAAAGCAAGATAATGACCCGTTGATTATCAGTGTGCTACCGGAACAATCAACATCCACACTTCGGGACTTTCTATGCGGAATATGGAGCATCTGTGGGCATGCCCGGAGTGCCATGATGTCGACTCTGAAACCAGTGATGAGCTGGACCCACCTGGATCATACAATTCAAGTAAAAGACCCCATCTCGCTAATTGCGAATGAAGAACAAGTTGTTTAACGTGTTTTATGGCTGGGCAGATACCCAAAAACAAAATGTTCTTTGCATACAGGACGTTGCAGAACTAATCCTAGAATTGTTTATATTTTTGCGTTAGTGTTTGTGTGTGTGTTAGTTTGCTTGTGTATGAATGTGATTATTGTAGATTTACTAAGCAAATTTACGCTCAGTAGTTTGCCATTGCCACAAAACTGCTGATACTACAGTCGAAAATAACGCAAGGCGGTCCGCTGCCAAATCCCTGTAGCTGGGATCGAACCAGGCACCAAGGCATCACGAAACAACTTCGCAACGCCTTAGCCACAGACACCGACACAGAATGAATGCATGAATGAATGAATGCGTGAATGAATAAATTAATGAATGCATGAATGCATGAATGAATGTATGAATGAATGAATGAACGAATGAATGAATGAATAAATGAATAAATGAATGAATGAATGAATGAAGGAACAAAATCCACCCTGACGTCCGAAGCGAAGCATGCCGGTCCTCACTGTCATCGGTATTATTCCTGAGTCAGTTACAGTCAGCATGTGATCATGACAATTGCACAATCCAACACCAGCATATTACTTAACAGTGTGTACATATTATATAATCTATAATTACCAACCCAGCCTTGGGTGAGTATCAGGTGCGGTCCTGGGAAGTAAAGGCGGTCGGCGCGATGGTGACCACATCACCCACAAAGTGTCGATTGGTCTAAAATATAGGTCTAGCCCTACATACCCAAAACGGCTGAAGAAGTGGAAAAGGGTAATTTATTACTTGATATTTACAGACGAAGGAATTCGATAAGCTGGGCTGAGTTTTGTACAACTGTAGAGTAAATCTGAACCGAGGCATGACGTTCAACCCCATCAGGAACCGTACAACAAGCGATAAACACCATCAGGTGACACAAACTGCCACTATTCGGATGAGAACACTCGGGTACAAGTCTCAAAAACCCCGATCAACTGTTAGGGTATATTAGTGCAACCAGATAACAGCCGGAGTGGGGTTTTGGAATAACATTTAAACAAAATGTGCGTCTCATACTAGGTCGAGGTTGATAAGTGAATAATCTTAACCGGCAAATAGTTGCTGGTCATGCCAGGCTGGCGTAGTCGTTTCTTGTGTCCCAGTTGCAGTATAACTTTTTGAAAGGCTGGACTGGGTGTGTGGGATTGCCCCTGTTGGCTTGACATCCGTACTGAGCTATTGTAATCTCTGGACGGTAAAATCTTGAGCGGAGCTGATGAAAGATTGAAGTAACAGAATAGACAATTGTTGATACATTCATACGCGTTCACGTAAACACCAGGCTTCTACCAGAATATGCCTACATCACAGGCCACGTATTTAATTCTGAAATTAATAAACAACAACTGGTCCAAATTAGGCAAAAAATCACTAATAACCTTACGTTTTAACACACAGAGGCAATAATGGGATGCCAATATAATCGACTCGTGGGAAACAACAGACGGGGGTAAAAACGGTCAGCCGCATCCCTTCATTTTTGAGATAATTGTGATAAATATTTCAGCCAGGGAAGGGAATTACATACCTCTAAATAATCGTGGGGTTATCTGTGGATGGAATTATAAATAACAGATTGTGGGAGATGGTTTCGATTTTGTTTTTGTTCTGCTCAGATTTAAGTTTTTGTGTTTAGGGTTGTGTGAAGTTTTTGTATGTGACAGTATGTGATGATATATCTTCCGTGAGAAAGGGGAGGGGGAGGGGGGGGGGGAGAGAGAATGAGCGGATGATCGAAGCAAATACAAAAACAACACACACACACAAACAAACAGAAAAAGGAGACGACGGAAACGCAGAGAAGAAGAAATATACTTACAAAAACGCAAGCAGCCACTCACATTAGACGACAGTCCATTTAAAAAACAGCAGTGTTCCAAGATAACTGTTGTATTGAGTTTCTGGAATTTTCTCCTGTTGGATTCTCGTCCCTGGCATGTCAGTCCTACAGGCTGTAATCCAGTATCCCCGTATGGGTTCCTGGACCCCCTTGTAAAAGGGGGGGGGGGCACAAGAATAGATCCACTAGCTCCCCAACAAGCTTGTTTAAGGAGTCGACTAACTGGTAGTTTCCTTCCAAGTTGGTGTGCATCTGCCCGAGCGGCGAGGAGCAACTAGCTGCATACAAATAAGCCAGTAAAACGGATGTACACGCAAAACTAATTCCCTGGCACAGAGCCAAAGTCCAAAGGAACGAGCAGGACAGTCTTGCCGCTGGAGTTTACAACCGGTGAAGACAGAAGATGAAGAAGTAATCCGGAAAAAGGAGGGGGTGAAACAAAAAAAAATGGAACAATTACAGAAAGAGAGACTAGACGAAGATAATTTTAAAAAAAGACAGAGAGAGAGATGAAGGGTAAAAACAATGAAGGGGGTGGGGGGGGGAGGGGGGGGGGAGGAGGTGTGAAGGAAGAGAATAATTATGAAAAATAAGGTGATACGCAGTAGGTTAGGAGCAGGTCGAGGGGAGACTGTCAATTAATAATAATCACAATAATAATGGAAGGAAAAAAAGAAAGTGAAGGAGATAGAAAAAATGGAGGGAGGGAGAGAGAGAGAGAGAGAGAGAGAGAGAGAGAGAGAGAGAGAGAGAGAGAGAGAGAGAGAGAGAGAGAGAGAGAGAGAGAGAGAGAGAGAGAGAAGAGGAATGGTTGTCAGGAACATAACAAAAGTCAAAATATGTGAAAAGAACAAGGTTCGGAAGAACGAGAACAAGAATATGAATTATCAAAAACCACGATGCTGAAAACAGAAGTGAGCAACCGTCCACCCCCCACTCCCCACCACTTTGCGGGGGAAAATCGTCACATTTAACCAGCATCCCTGAAGGGGGAGCTTAAGGTTATAATTATGATTATGCTATGTGCGCCACATAAAACAGCAATGGACGCCACCAAGACCCCTGAAAAGATCTCTTGCAATGTTGACGCGATCAAAGGGGACACAGAAATACAGTCCCAGACGGCGACTAAGTCGTCTCCAGGCGAGCCAATGGAGCAAAACACATATGAAATATAGTTATATTTGTCTATAAATTAAATTCGTTCCACCAATTGACATAAATCAATGAATTCCTTTTCCTGTTCCCAGTTTTCATCTGCTGGTTTCACCCACACGGAAATTATCAGACCAAAGTTCAACCAATCAACAGAGACTACACCCGGAACCATGACCTCAAGTGCTTCCTGTCTACTTCTGGCTATTGCCGTGCTCAATCCCATGACGACGGAACCCACTGATGCCCAGAGCGTCTTCACGCCACCCAAAGAGGAGCCGTGCATCCCGTGTGACATCTATGCCATCCCAGAAGAAGTGAGGATCCACCGGGTTCTGTACGGGTGCACGGAGTGCGGGTACATGTTCAACACCCGGATCGAGCACTGTTGCGTGTGTTACGAGGACGTCTTTAAGCAGTGTCTATCAGCGCTGAAGAAATAGTCCCTCAGTCCAAAAGTTTGTCGTATCCCAATTGAACAGAAATAAAGATTAACTATTTTTATTTCAAAGTAACCACTCTGACTCTGTTTTCATTGCGACATATCACCCACTGCTTCATCACCATCGTGTGTCTTGTCGACTGGCAGAGATGAATATTTATCGGTGCTTTATTAATATCCTACCTTAGATGACGACACAGGACAGTCCAACAATTTAGAGGGTGGTGAAACTGGGTTCCCCGGCTTTCTGATGCTTTTAACGACCCCCAAAAATGTCAAACTTGCCCTAACGCCAAACCACCTGCGTCCCACGAGAGAGTGCAGCCTAGGTCCCACGACTTCATGCAGCCAAGGTCCCACGACTGCATGCAGCCTATTTACCACCCCTGAAATATTAGGCTGTCCCGTGACCTTTGGATTTCCCCTGTTTGTAGTAGGATATTAATAAAGCACTAAATCTTCTCTACAAATACAGTGTTCCCTCAAGAAAGTAAATTTCCGGTCTCACCTTTTACATTGGATCATCTTATCCTTGGGGTATGTGTCGTCTTTAGGGTCTGCACTTACCGCTTGTATAGCAGTCTAGGACAGGAGGACGTTAGCAGGGCTGTCAAAACATTTTTGGGGATAGAACCAGATGTCATTGAAATAGGTATCAAAACACGCCAAAAGGTACCACATTTTTAATTTCTAAATACAATTTTAAAAATGAAAACCCGGTTAAAACGTCATTTAAACACACACAGACTCGCATATATGTATGTATACATATCTATATGAGCGTATGTGTGTGTGTGTATACATTTTTTCGCTCAATTTATTAGAAAGCTGTTGTCGTTGCTTCTATTTGTCCTGATGCGACAAATTTGATCTAGTCAGTTTTTTTTTATTGTTGAAGTCTTGAAAGAAGATGGATTCTTTTTTTCTATATTCCTATTGTTAGGCCGATATAAAACTCTTTCAATAGCTGCAGAGGAATGAGGTAATGCCAAAAGACTAAGCACAGTTTTTGATAATAGTAGATTTTTCGTGTCCAGATTTTTTTTGGGGAAATGTAAGCAACATTTACCTAGTGGGTTTTCAGCATTAGCCGTTGATCTTGCACTATTAGTTTCCTCCAGTCTTAATCAATTTGTTATTATATCGTTGATAACAGACTGTGATATTTCATAACTAGTGGCATACCTGACGTCGGTCTTCTTTCAGTAACACTAAGTTGATCCAGCGTACAATGCAAATGTTCAAATATTGATGCTTAGTTTACAAAAAGTACCGAAACATCGGGCGTGGTAAAAAAAAAAGTACATTTTTGCTCCTCAAGGGTCAGAAAGAACAAAATTTGTACGAAAGTACCAACTTCGGCAGCCCTGATCGTGAGCCTACGGGTGTAGGGCGGCATGGGTAATGCAGTCGCTTCGAACTGCTCAGGTTAGGATTATTAGGTTTGCTCCAGGAAAAAAAAATGAAAACATCCATACCTTACTAGGGTTCGAAGCTGGGTATCTCTAACGAGGAAATTAATCCAGAATTGAAATTACTACACTCAGGACATTCCCACACGTGCCCAGTCTCCCTTCTCAGTAGCAACAGAGAGTTGACAGGCGAATAGTACTAGTCGCAACCTGATTTACAGTCCACATATGTCTTCTTTTCAGGGATATCTTCCAGACCCTCTACCCACCCTACCCACACCTCACCCAGCTCAATTGGTCTTTCAACCTATGAATTCTCTGTTCTGTTAAATTTTCTATTTGATCACAGAGAGCCTTCACGGCATCTGCTTTAATATAAAGTAGCTCACCATTCAGAGAAGCAGGAGCAGCCAATCTATCAGCATGTTCATCGCCCCTCACATCGTTATAGCCTGGAAAGAAAATCCGTGACAAGCTCCTGTTTGGAGTTTTATCAAGTCGATTGTCTGATAGACTTTCTCAAATAACAAACATCCACTGGGTGGTGATTGGGCGGGGGATGTTCCAAAGTATTCTAGTAGGGAGGACAAGAGATGGAAAGTCCTGAAACTTCTAATAGTTATTTGAATTCAATTATTGTTGTATCGCCAACAAAAATGTGCTCTGTACGGCAACAAAGGGCCGTAATTCATCGAAATCCAACGGATATCGGGGCTTGCAACTTCGTCCATTTTTTACAACAATTTCGATCCAATTATTTAGACCTGAAATTAGAGTAGTGGGCGAGAAGGGATTACGGCTACTAGATGCAAACAAATGTTTTGTCCACATAAAAAGTCTATTAGTCTGAGACTGAAGAATTCCAACTCTCCATCATTTTCTAGGCAAAGACCTGAACGGCTTGACTATATAGATGGAGCCTGACACGAGCACAGACCTGATCCGTAGTTCTAGTAATCGTGTGATTTGGCGAAATAGTACTGCCTACGCTGATCTGCTTGGCATAAAATAATGATGATGATGTAACAAGAAAGTGTGACAGGTGTTAAAAAGGTAAACATCATGTATTGAGGAACATTAGTTTCTTGGGAATAATGTGGCAGTTTCCCCTTGCTGTCCAAGTTCATGTGGCTTTAGACTCAGTTCTCGGCATCCAGCAACCTTTTGGATATCAAGCGCCTTGGCGAATAGGAAAGAATAGTAGCTAAAGTCATCGTGTCAGAAAGGAGAGGCAGGGGACGAACAGCACTGAGACGGGCATGCTATATGTCATAACTTGGGTAGGACAGTGTACGAGGCAGGAGACGAACAGCACTCGGGCGAGCAAGCTAGAGGTCATAACTTGGGTAGGACAGTGTACCAGGCAGGGAACGAACATAAATCAGACGAGCAAGCTAGAGGTCATAACTTGGGTAGGACAGTGTACGAGGCAGGGGACGAGCAGCATTCGGACGAGCAAGCTAGAGGTCACAACTTGGGTAGGACAGTTTACCAGGCAGTGGACGAACAGCACTCAGACGAGTAAGCTAGAGGTCATAACTTTGGTAGGACAGTGTGCGTGGCAGGGGACGAACAGCACTCAGACGAGCAAGCTAGAGGTCATAACTTGGGTAGGGCAGTGTACCAGGCAGGGAACGAGCAGCACTCAGACGAGCAAGCTAGAGGTCATTACTTGGGTAGGACAGTGTACCAGGCAGTGGACGAACAGCACTCAGACGAGCAAGCTAGAGGTCATAACTTGGGTAGGACAGTGTACCATGCAGGGAACGAACATCACTCAGACGAGTAAGCTAGAGGTCATTACTTGGGTAGGACAGTGTGCGAGGGAGGAGGTCTTACCGGACCGGAATCGGAGTTTCTTTCAGGCAGGCTGCGATGAAAGCAACGTTCTGCAAAGGACTTGCTACATGATGATGATGATGACGATTTGAGAAAAACTGCAGTAGACATAATAAGCACTAGACAAGTTCAATGTCAATATTTGCTAGAGAATTCGAAGTTTTAAACCTAAACATAAAAGTAATCTTCTTCTTCTTCTTCTTCTTCTTCTTCTTCTTCTTCTTCTTCTTCTTCTTCTTCTTCTTCTTCTTCTTCTTCTTCTTCTTCTTCTTCTTCTTCTTCTTCTTCTTCTTCTTCTTCTTCTTCTTCTTCCTCTTTTTGTCATTCACCGGCTGTAAGCTCTGGCACAAAGTTCTGGTTGTTCGTCCACCTCTGGAATTAAATCTGGTTCCAGAACCTGAGTGTTGTGTGTACATCCGTTTTACAGATCGTAATGACATGAGAACTCTTTCCTAAATATTACACATTAACTCCATGTATCTTGATCATCGTGATCGCCAACACCCTACTACTGTGCTGTAATTTGTCATCACCAACACCCTACTACTGTGCTGTATTACGTCATCACCAACACCCTACTACTGTGCTGTATTGCGTCATCCTCAACACCCTACTACTGTGCTGTAATTTGTCATCACCAACACCCTACTACTGTGCTGTAATTTGTCATCACCAACACCCTACTACTGTGCTGTAATTTGTCATCACCAACACCCTACTACTGTGCTGTAATTTGTCATCACCAACACCCTACTACTGTGCTGTATTACGTCATCACCAACACCCTACTACTGTGCTGTATTACGTCATCACCAACACCCTACTACTGTGCTGTATTACGTCATCACCAACACCCTACTACTGTGCTGTATTGCGTCATCCTCAACACCCTACTTGCTGTATTACGTCACAGGTGCTGCAGTTGATGTTTCCATTCTGGTCTACATGTGCAGTCACATGGATAACATGGATGCAATCCATTCCAGCACCTTTATCTTCTCTCATCAATGTTTCTCTGATTGTTTCTTTTGGACTTCTGGTTTCCTCATTGTTGTTTCCCATTTGCTGCCTCAATGTTCTCTTCCCTGCACGATGCTAGTTAGTTAATCGACAGGTTATCCTCATCACACATTGGGTAAATCCATAAGCACTCGGGTCATATCTTCAGCATATCCCCCAGAGTGTGGCGACTGATAACACGTGTTCTGTGTGGGTTTACTATTCTTCTTTGACTACTTGTATAGTTTTCATGTTTGGTGAAACCTCTTTTCACCCGATGTTCTGATAGTCTTTTGATTACATCCGACTCACTTTGGTCTATTTAATCATCTTCTCGACCTGCCTCGTTGATAGCCTAATATGCTTCGTATATCCCACGGTTCGTTTACCTGAGATACAAGTTGTTCCCCGGACATTTCTCGCATTTTTTTTTTTTGAGTCCTTGTTAAAGTCATCCCATTTAGTGTTTATCAATTTGTAAACGGCTGACTTTCTACCCCACCAGGACATCACACAAGCGATAAACACCCGATGACACAAAGTGCCACCATGTGGGTGAGGATCACCGTGGAGAGGTGCCAGAAACCGCGTTCAGCCTTTAGGCCATATGTATGGCCAGGCTGTATTGCGGCCCCCGACAAGAGCCAGAGCAGGGCTTCAAATAACGAAAACTTTCGTCCTTATAAGGACGAGAAGTATCAATTTGTAAAGGCATAACGGGATAAATAAACGTATGGCTATCCATCAGCCTGGAAGAACAAGACCCACCAGGTTATTTTGTTTGGATGCAAATGTTGAACAATGGCAAATGAAACGGTCAGAAAATTGTTGTTGTTTTCACCTTAGAGTCTTTCCAGATGATACTGTTAAACAGTGTAGACCTGATAAGGAGAACTCAGAGGGTACCCAAGAAATGCTTTTTTTTATGCGAAATTCTTTTTATCAAGATAAGAGTTCAAGCAAGAAAAATTGTTCTGGGATAGCCTCAGGATATCTGCATTGTATTGTGCTTGTGATAGGCATTAAAATCACAGACTCTGGCAACAGTAAATGTGATTAGAAAGAACGGCCAATGTTGGGGAAAATCCCGACAATTAAGAGCATGTGATTTCAGAACCAAGGTTGCCATCGCTTCTCTTTAACGAGCTTCCTCTCTGACACTCAGCTAGTACAATGTTGGCAACCATTTCAGTCTAGATATCATGGTCTAGTTGTGGGGGAAGGGGTAGAATAGACCCACTACCCTCCAAGCATGTCGTAAAAGTCGACAAATTAAGTGTGTTTACTACAAAGTCGGAGTGCACCTACCTGAGAGACAAGTAACCAAGTCTGCATACAAATAAGTCAGATCTGTGAAACGCAGCACTCTGGAATAAGGCTAAATTCCTGAACCAGGTAATGTCCCGGGAAGTAAATGCGACTGGCGAGATGTTGACCATGTCACCCCTCAAGTACCGATTGGGCACAACAGAGAAAATTTATATCCCACGTGGAATCCGCAGCTCACAGTACCCCACCAAGCACAGTAGCTGTGCGACGGAACTTTTAGACCCCTGGTCCAAACATTGTAAATTTGCATTAGGAAAATCTGGCTGGAAACACTTTTTTTATTCTACTGGCTATTTTGGCAGGAGGGCATAATACTATTATTGGTCTTGCACACCACAGGCATCAAATAAAGACTCTACAGTCCCCACAGGGTGCCTGTCAGACAGGGCCACAAACACCTGAGCACATTCTGCAGACCTGCCCACTCTACCCACACACACAAAGAAACCTGGCAAAAGAGCAAAGTGTGCAGAGCAAGCTATGGGGAATCATGAAGGATCTGCAGCTGACATGCGAGTTCATAAAAACAACACACCTGAAGGTCTGATCTGAGCATACGAAACCGAACGCAAAGAAGGAGAATCACTATTATCTTGAGCTGCTACTGGTGTTACGTTGTACTTTCTTTAAAGACAGGAAGCCTCATATTGCGAATATCTAGTGCCAGCCTGCCCTCAACACTGCGATATTTATCAAAACACCGTCATTGCGTGAATCCTCAGTCAGTTCATTAGCAATTAATGAGACTGTCGCATTTCCCTGAAGACCTTGTGTCCAAGAATTGACTGTAATGTTCTACCGATGGCGCAGGGAGTCATCAATTTGTGGATTGCTTAGGGAATTCTAACATCGTGGAGGAGTGGGTTCTGAGAATAGCAGATGAGGTCGAACAAGAGATGTCACATTTCAGGGTTATAATTAGGGAGCTGGACAGGGCGATGGACAAACTGAGACAGGTGGGTGCACAGGCAGAGGAATGGACAGTCAGAAAGATGAACTGACAGATAGGCAGACATACGGAGCAGCGGTTGGACGGCTTGGTGGAAGGACAGACAGACAGACAGACAGACAGACAGACAGACAGACAGACAGACAGACAGACAGACAGACAGACAGACAGACAGACAGACAGACAGACAGACAGACAGACAGACAGACAGACAGACAGACAGACAGACAGACAGACAGACAGACAGACAGACAGACGAACAGACAGACAGCCCGTCATCATGTCGACCCTGCCAGAAATGTTCTACAACCAACAACAATGAAGAACACCAATAATTTTTTCTACAGAGAAGTTGTGCAGGTTGTGAAATTTATTTTTGTCCTCAACAAGAAACCTCCCAAACAGCTTACAGAGGATTCGATCCCTGGTCTTTGATATGGAAGCCCATCATTCAAACGGCTCGGCTAGAGATTGCCTCGTAGTCACTAGAACCGATAGACTCGGAGCTTGTGTCTTTTCTGGGCACTCCCCATGGAGAAGTTGTGTATCACCCGCAGCAGGTGGGAGGTGAAACTCCTGCTGTGGGGCAGCTGGTCATGGATAGTGGACAGTCCAGTGTAGGACAGGATGAGAGCAAACAGGCTGGTGACCAACAGCAGGATCAGAAGTGAGACTGCAAACTTGGCGCTGACCACGAGCGTCTGTGTGACAACTGGGAGGAACCAGGCGTTGGATGGGACGGTGTACTCAAAGAGTCCTGGAGAGAAAATGCGCAACAACTGTTTACTATACATATTGCTTTGTGTTTCGTAATCAGTAGTAGCATAAATAGTATCAGTAGGGGCATCAGTAGTAGTGTTAGTGGTAATAATAGCAGTAACTGTTTTAGCCGTAGTGATAGTGGCAATAGTACTAGCAGCAAAAGAAGCAGAAGCAGCAGCAGTAGTAGTAGTAGTGGTGGTGGTGGTGGTAGTAGTATTAATAGTAGCAGTAGCAGTGTTAGTGGTTTTAATAGCAGCAAGTGTATTAGCCGTAGTGATAGTTGCAACACTACTAGCAGCAACAGCAGCAGCAGTAGTAGTAGTAGTAGTAGTAGTAGTAGTAGTAGTAGTAGTAGTAGTAGTAGTAGTAGTAGTAGTAGTAGTAGTAGTAGTAGTAGTAGTAGTAGTAGTAGTAGTAGTAGTAGTAGTAGTAGTAGTAGTAGTAGTAGTAGTAGTGATGGTGGTGGTCTGTGTTGTCCATCAAGATGATGATGACCACTATTTTTCATCAAGTACGAGTACGAAGATGACTGATGAGGCCGATGCGGGCCCGAAAAATTCTGGGACAGTGAGAGCAGGGAATGAGCGTGGTGCCAAAAGTAGTGATGGTGTAGTAGTAGTAGTAGCAACATCCCTATTGTTTGTGTTGGTGGTGATGTTAGAGGTGGTAGTGCGTCAACTAACAGGTCCTGTACATAAAGTCGCTCACATCACCGGACGCATGAAAGGCTGACCCTGGCGATCTCCAGGCCGCTGGTACTTTCTTGCCAAAGGTGCATCTATCGTCCAGTGCTTACCCAAGTGCTGGTCAGTCTCTGTCCCTCTGCCCAGGTACCACGTCCATTACTGTTCTTTCTTAGCCATTACTACCCGTGATGTAGGCAAAGTTCTGCAGTTTTCCTGACAAGATGAATTAATGAGCTTTATTTTCAAAGGTTGCAAACTGATTGTTAAAGAGCTAGTCTTCCTTGATGTTCTCATCTGTTTGTAGTCGACTCCAAAACACTGGCTATTAGACAATGTCTAGAAAATTCTATAAGTTGTCATAGGGGTGGGCGGTGTGGAGGAGGATGGCGGGGAAAGGGGGGGGGGCGAGAGAAGATCATCAAGCACATATGTCGGTGCCTAGAAAATGTAGTCAAACAACTGTGCAAGATCATCAAGCACATATGTCGGTGCCTAGAAAATGTAGTCAAACAACTGTGCAAGATCATCAAGCACATATGTCGGTGCCTAGAAAATGTAGTCAAACAACTGTGCAAGATCATCAAGCACATATGTCGGTGCCTAGAAAATGTAGTCAAACAACTGTGCAAGATCATCAAGCACATATGTCGGTGCCTAGAAAATGTAGTCAAACAACTGTGCAAGATCATCAAGCACATATGTCGGTGCCTAGAAAATGTAGTCAAACAACTGTGCAAGATCATCAAGCACATATGTCGGTGCCTAGAAAATGTAGTCAAACAACTGTGCAAGATCAAACGGCCTGTAAACAACAGGACTTAGCAGAGGTGAAGAGGAGAAGAGGCAGACCAAAAAAAAAGACCTGGATACAGAACTTGACTGACTGAACAGACCTGGATACAGAACTTGACTGACTGAACAGACCTGGATACAGAACTTGACTGACTGCACAGACCTAGATACAGAACTTGACTGACTGGACAAACCTGGATATAGAACTTGACTGACTGGACAAACCTGGATACAGAACTTGACTGACTGGACAAACCCGGATACAGAACTTGACTGACTGGACAAACCTGGATACAGAACTTGACTGACTGGACAGACCAGGATATAGAACTTGACTGACTGGACAGACCTGAATATAGAACTTGACTGACTGGACATACCTGAATATAGAACTTGACTGACTGGACAGACCTGAGTATAGACCTGAGTATAGAACTTGACTGACTGGACAGACCTGAGCATAGAACTTGACTGACTGGACAAACCTGGATATAGAACTTGACTGACTGGACAAACCTGGATATAGAACTTGACTGACTGGACAAACCTGGATATAGAACTTGACTGACTGGACAAACCTGGATATAGAACTTGACTGACTGGACAGACATGGATACAGAACTTGACTGACTGGACAGACCTGAATATAGAACTTGACTGACTGAACAGACCTGAATATAGAACTTGACTGACTGGACAGACTTGGAAATAGAACTTGACTGACTGGGCAAACCTGGATATAGAACTTGACTGACTGGACAGTCCTCGATACAGAACTTGACTGATTGGACAGACCTGGATACAGAACTTGACTGATTGGACAGACCTGGATACAGAACTTGACTGACTGAACAGACATGGATACAGAACTTGACTGACTGGACAGGCCTGGATATAGAACTTGACTGACTGGACAGGCCTGGATACAGAACTTGACTGACTGGACAGGCCTGGATATAGAACTTGACTGACTGGACAGGCCTTAGGCATGCAACCATGAAGTAACACCCAGACTTCAAAATTAACACCCAGCCTTAAAAACTAACACCCAGACTTCAAAGTTAACACCCAGACTTCAAAATGAACACCCAGACTTCAAAACTAACACCCAGACTTCAAAATTAACACCCAGACTACACACTGAATTAATCGCTGTTTGCGACATGCTTGTCAGGGAGCCAGTCTGTCTGTTCTTGTTTCTCCAAAATAAGACTCCAGAACCCAGATGTTGATCTGCTTTAGTACTTCAAAGATTGAAGAGATTCTGGCGCAACATTGGCCACACACAAATTCACTGGTGACAATCCACGTAAGGTGCATCTTCCTGTGACAATATACGGGTTTGAATCGTGGACTTGTGTGCAGTCGCTAAACAAGAATATCGGGGCACTGGGTCATACATGCTACAGGAAGCTTCTGAGACTATCAATGACCAAGACAAGGAAGCAAGGCTGGCATTCTCCACAGTCTGGACGCCGAGAGAGACTCGCCTACAAGCTGTCTCCTGTCTCGTCAACTTAAATACTTTGGCTATACTAAAGGACTTAATGGAGGATGGGTCCTTGGAGAAAATGCAGGTGTTGACAACCACAATGGTTGCCAAAGAATATCAAGTTTCCTTGCACATGACAAGTCCTCAACGTGAGGAAGTTGGAGAGAGAAAACGGATGACTTGGCGGCATGTCGTTGTGAAAACGATGCTCTGCAAAGTATTTGCTTCATGATGATGATGGTGATGATGATGATGCTGATGGCAACGACGATAACGATGATAATGGGGATCCATCAGAGAAGATTACTGGAGCACTTATCAGTGTGCTAAGAAAGTAATGCTGTATAAACAAATCAAGCAAACACATCACACAGACTCTAGTGCTACAAGCACTTATAACGCAAGGAAAGCAAGGCTGTATAAAACACATCAAGCAAACACATAACACAGACTCCAGTCTAGGGCTACAAGCACTTTAACGTTACGTTTCGACTCTCTGTTTGTAGATGTTGTTGCGTTTCGTGAAGTGAACACCGATGGTTCGGATCTCGAGCCCCGGATGCGAGTCCTGCTACTCTCAGGCTCAGGGTTGCGACGCCTGACTGACCTGGATTCCGACATGTCTGTTACCAGGTAGGGCGAGTCCGTCAGTCCGGCAGATTCTGAAAGGTGAGAATATAGCAGGATATGGAAAATACCGACACCACGAACATAATTAACTGCTTGTAGGTTTACTGGTATCAGGTAAAGACGCATTCGCAGTTTTAGCTTTAAAACAAACGGATCACTCTATATCGCTCTGTTGTTATGGCAACGAAAACCACATAATATCTACCGCAGTAAGTGGTAAAATAACTGTCACAGACTGCAGTCTTAGCCAATCAAATAGATACACACACATTCAATGCAAATGGCAGCCGTCAGAAGTGCTAACACAAACAGTCCAACACTAGAAATGTAGTTTAGCGTCGATGAAAGCAGCAGATACAACATAATATAGTCAGACAGTCGCATAAATACAAGTATGAGGTCAGTCTACTTCAGAACTTCATTATCGTTATCGTGTCATGCCGTTAAATACTGCACAGGCTCAGTCTGTTTTTCCAGTCCGTTTTGTTCGATATCAAGGATGGAGTCGTCCAGCACGCATGGCTCCTCTCAACAACGTTCGTCTGGAATCTGACCCTACGCTCAACACGCATGGGAGAGGCGAGACGGACATTCAATCATCCTGTTAATAGTATAAACAAAACTGGAACTCTGTGTTTGCTGCTGAATATGGAGGTGGAGGGCGTATGGGAATGAGCACTATGATGTCGGTTCTTCACTCACAGCAACGTGTATCTTAGGGTTTCTCTAGGTCTTTATAGCTTCCTCAATCTATTTGTTTCCCATTTCAGTACCAGTTTATCAAGTCCCTGATCGCTCGCCAACTTGATGTGCCCAGTATAGCTCACCATCTTGATGTGCCCAGTATAGCTCACCATCTTGATGTGCCCAGTATAGCTTACTATCTAGATGTGTCTAGTATAGTGACACTTTCTTGTTCCTGTCACTGTTGACACTACCAGTGGTCTAGACAATGCTCCTACACTTGACATGCCTGTTTATGCAGACTATTCTACTAGCAAAAATAACAGCTCTTGTTAATAATAATGCATCTGTTTATCGTCATTTCATTGATTGATTCATTCGTCTTGGATCTAGTTTTTAATATTACTGTTAAGCCGGGTGGGGTCTCTATGACGCCGGCTTGGCATTGCAACTACCGGAAGGTTGATTCAGTCAGAGGTCGTTTAGAATTGTTCCGGTAGGCTTCTCTTGGCATGACTGTGACTGTGACCGATTGGACCGTTTGATCTAAGCCAGAAGGTAGAGAAGCGACCTCCTGGTTTTATTATGCAATACCCCTACCACCACAAATAACAAGAATATTTTTTATATATATCAAAACAATAACACCAAAGATAACAGGAGTTATTCTAGCATTCAGACATTTGTGTGCTAAGCTGACCTGAGATCAGAACTGACAAAACAGGAGGCAGAACATTCCCATAGGCGCTCTGTCCCCCATATTCAGAAACCAATGTAGAGCTCTAATTGGCCGTCTCGTCTTTCCTGTGAAAGTTGAGTGTTGGGCCAGGTGCCCTGATCACCTCCCGCTGCAACATTTCGTGAGCCGATAGTTTAGGATCCTATACTTTCTCACAGTTGGCCCAGGAGAAAATACACATTTGAAAACATGGGAACGACATACCCACATATCGTTGGACACATTAAAGATGCAAGCAGCGGAGAATGGGGAGTGAGAGGCAACAAGAAAATGCACAATCTGTTTAAATAACTGGCATCACGAGGACTGCTCTAAAGGACTGCAATAGCTGGGGCATATAGAGAGTCATATAAACAGAGAAACAAAAACTGCGCGTACAGAAAGGTTGAAAAGGAATAGACCAGGAGACAGATCAAGGGGTAATACTGGGGGAGAGGTCGTAGTCCTACAAACACTTGGAGTCACCAATAAGTAATACTGGGGTAAAGGTCGTAGTCCTACAAACACTTGGAGTCACCAAGAGGTAATACTAAGGGAGAGGTCGTAGTTCTACAAACACTTGGAGTCACCAAGGGGTAATACTGGGGGAGAGGCCATAGTCCTACAAACACTTGGTGTCACCAAGAGGTAGTACTGGGGGAGAGGTCGTAGTCCTACAAACACTTGGTGTCACCAAGAGGTAATACTGGGGAAGAGGTCGTAGTCCTACAAACACTTGGAGTCACCAAAAGGTAATACTGGGGGAGAGGTCGCAGTCCTACAAACACTTGGTGTCACCAAGAGGTAATACTGGGGGAGAGGTCGTAGTCCTACAAACACTTGGAGTCATCAAGAGGTAATACTGGGGGAGAGGTCGTAGTCCCACAAACTCTTGGAGTCACCAAAAAGTAATACTGGGGGAAAGGCCGTAGTCCTACAAACACTTGGAGTCACCAAGAGGTAATACTGGAGGAGAGGTCGTAGTCCTACAAACACTTGGAGTCACCAAAGGGTAATACTGGGGGAGAGGTCATAGTCCTACAAACACTTGGTGTCACCAAGAGGTAGTACTGGGGGAGAGGTCGTAGTCCTACAAACACTTGGTCTCACCAAGAGATAATACTGGGGAAGAGGTCGTAGTCCTACAAACACTTGGAGTCACCAAGAGGTAATACTGAGGGAGAGGTCGCAGTCCTACAAACACTTGGTGTCACCAAGAAGTAATACTGGGGAAGAGGTCGTAGTCCTACAAACACTTGGAGTCACCAAGAGGTAATACTAGGGGTGAGGTCGTAGTCCTACAAACACTTGGAGTCATCAAGAGGTAATACTGGGGGAGAGGTCGTAGTCCTACAAACACTTGGAGTCATCAAGATATAATACTGGGGGAGAGGTCGTAGTCCTACAAACACTCGGGGTCACCAAGAGGTAATACTGGGGGAGAGGTCGTAGTCCTACAAACACTCGGGGTCACCAAGAGGTAATACTGGGGGAGAGGTCGTAGTCCTACAAACACTTGGAGTCACCAAGAGGTAGCACTAAGGGAAAGAGGTCGTAGTCCTACAAACACATGGGGGTCATCAAGAGGTAATACTGGGAGGGGGGGTGGGGGGAGGAGAGTAGTTCTAGAAACACTAGGGGTCACAAAGAGGTAATACTGGGAGAGAGGTCGTAGTCCTACAAACACTAGGGGTCACCAAAAGGTAATACTGGGGGAGAGGTCGTAGTCCTACAAACACTCGGGGTCACCAAGAGGTAATACTGGGGGAGAGGTCGTAGTTATACAAACACTTGGAGTCCCCAAGAGGTAATACTGGGGGAGAGGTCGTAGTCCTACAAACACTTGGGGTCACCAAGAGGTAATACTGGGGGAGAGGTCGTAGTCCTACAAACACTTGGGGGTCACCAAGAGGTAATACTGGTGGAGAGGTCATAGTCCTACAAACACTTGGGGGTCATCAATAGGTAATACTGGGGGAGAGGTCGTAGTCCTACCAACACTAGGGGTCACCAAGATGTAATACTGGGGGAGAGGTCGTAACCCTACATACACTTGGGGGTCATCAAAAGGTAATACTGATGGAGAGTTCGTAGTCCTACCAACACTAGGGGTCACCAAGATGTAATACTGGGGGAGAGGTCGTAGTCCTACAAACACTTGGGGGTCATCAAAAGGTAATACTGATGGAGAGTTCGTAGTCCTACCAACACTAGGGGTCACCAAGATGTAATACTGGGGGAGAGGTCGTAGTCCTACAAACACTTGGGGATCATCAAAAGGTAATACTGATGGAGAGTTCGTAGTCCTACCAACACTAGGGGTCACCAAGAGGTAATACTGGGGGAGAGGTCGTAGTTATACAAACACTTGGAGTCCCCAAGAGGTAATACTGGGGGAGAGGTCGTAGTCCTACAAACACTTGGGGTCACCAAGAGGTAATACTGGGGGAGAGGTCGTAGTCCTACAAACACTTGGGGGTCACCAAGAGGTAATACTGGTGGAGAGGTCATAGTCCTACAAACACTTGGGGGTCATCAATAGGTAATACTGGGGGAGAGGTCGTAGTCCTACCAACACTAGGGGTCACCAAGATGTAATACTGGGGGAGAGGTCGTAGTCCTACATACACTTGGGGGTCATCAAAAGGTAATACTGATGGAGAGTTCGTAGTCCTACCAACACTAGGGGTCACCAAGATGTAATACTGGGGGAGAGGTCGTAGTCCTACAAACACTTGGGGGCCATCAAAAGGTAATACTGATGGAGAGTTCGTAGTCCTACCAACACTAGGGGTCACCAAGCTGTAATACTGGGGGAGAGGTCGTAGTCCTACAAACACTTGGGGGTCATCAAAAGGTAATACTGATGAAGAGTTCGTAGTCCTACCAACACTAGGGGTCACCAAGAGGTAATACTGGGGGAGAGGTCGTAGTTATACAAACACTTGGAGTCCCCAAGAGGTAATACTGGGGGAGAGGTCGTAGTCCTACCAACACTAGGGGTCATCAAGATGTAATACTAATGGAGAGGTCATAGTCCTACAAACACTTGGGGGTCATCAAGATGTAATACTGATGGAGAGTTCGTAGTCCTACAAACACTTGGAGTCATTAACTGGAAAGACAAGGCCAGTCACAGAGATGACAGGTGGTGAGCGAAATCTGCATAAATGAATGTCAGTATTGAAATTATGAAGAGGAAGAAGAGGAAAGTTCACATGACATTACAAACACCCCCTTGCATTGATAGACTGTTGTGTGTTTTTTCTAGGCAATTTTATATTGAGATGTTCATCATTGTCTTGTGAACGTTTTGAAACCCATTCGGTTATCAAAATCAAATTGCCTTCAGCGGACTTCGAAGCCTGGTATGTTGCAATTATAAAACTACTCTTATAACTCCCAAGCCACATAGATAAGTTTAAAAACTAAAAACAAAAAAACCCTGAAGAAACATTGCAATATGTGCATTTCAGTTCAAAGCATTGTGTTTGTGCTTCAGCATGTTGTGACTTAAACACTATTTTGACATAGGCGTTGCGAACACAGTTTGTAACTTCGACATACACGGCTCTATTTAACCTGTGTT